CTGGAAAACTCCTAAACCGTAAGACTTGGAGACAAAAAAATTTTTTCATTCCCGTAACTAATTGTGCCGAACATTTATGGAAAGTTTCGTCAAGGTCGGATGCACGGTGTCCGAGATAATTTCTGAGGGTGGGGGGGCCCTTAATAACTTATGTTTTTTGACATGATCGTATAGTTGATTGAAAACAAGTCTTTCAAGTATTTTTGACATAGCGGGTAGTCAGCTTATCGGTCTGTAATTATAAGAAAGCGTATTGTCACTATCTTTAAATAAAGGATGAATGCCACCTAGTTTCAATGCATCAGGAAAAACACTATCAGACAGCGAAAAGTTATAGCCTTTTAACCAGTGATGAAAAGTTACGGTCTGATCTTGGCTTCCAATTAGTGAAGACCGCAAGTCTCTATCAGTTTTCTGTTAAACATTATTGAAAAAACATCCAAGGGCATTCTTTTTTTTGACCGACAACACTTTAAATACTTCTTTGAATAAAACCGTTATTATTCCAAGCTCAGCTGCTAGTAGTTTAGTAGTCTGGTTCCAAGGACATCGGGCGAACGTGCTAATTTTGTTCAAAGGAATGAAGTTGATTCTGGAGATGTTATTGATTTTCCAAGTTTGACAGATAGTCCTATATTTTCTAGGCATAGTGAAATTAGAAAATTTGAGACAGTAAATTATATTAATGAGGCTAATAAACGCCAAAAAGTATACGATGATCATATGAAAAATTTGTCTACTGTGTATAGTGTTAGAGATTCCGTTAGATTGCGAGTAAAACTAAAAGCGGAAGTAATGGTTGTCTTTGTAAAAAGGCCAAACGTACAACAAAATGTCATATAGAACACAAATCTTGTACTAATAATAAAGACAATGTGTAATATAATTGTACCATGCTTGTTTTCAGCGAATTTGTTTTGTTTATAAATATTTTCTTTTCGTTCTTTTTTGGAAAGTAATTTACAAACTAAACATAATACTCGGGCTAACAACAAAGCAGCGTGACTGGGATAATAATTTGAAACCTAAATGACTATACAATAATTGAACAGCACTTCTGTGTGCGATTATGTAAATATAAAATTCATGTAGCACTTTTAGTGCGTCGTTTTGTTTTGTACGATATACAGTCATTGTCTTTCTACTTGTTCCTTCAACTGTTCTTATACTGCAGAATTAAAACTGTGGCGGTTGTAAAACATAGGTTCTATTTGGGTTAATAATGTACATTATGTTTTGTATAGAATAAGTTTTCTTATTTGGTGTTACATTACGCTATTGGTTATGATATAAAAAAATTTGTCGGCTCTTGCTTTATGAGAGTGCTGATTAAACGTTAAAATAATTTTATATACAGGAATGTGACGAAGAGTATGAAAGGGGGTGGGCTCCAAGAAGGTGTGTATGCGAAAAATGATTTTTAGGCAGTGCGACTTTTCTTTGTAAAAAATATTTATTTCGCTAATATAACACGAAATCTGTTTGGATTTCTGTTAATTTCACTTTTCCAAATTCGAGATCTTACCAGAAAAAACTCGAATTGTGCATATGTAAGCACATGCATCTCAGTTTTTCCAAGGCAAACTCGAATTTCAATTTTCCCAGGAAACTGTAGAATTTTACTGAATTCCAGTTTTCCTTATAACATATATATATATTAGTTTGCAATATAAGTCTTATTTGGTTCAGATACGCTTTTTTACTTCTTGAGAATCTCAGACAACATGATACACAGGTTTTTGACGATGGAGAATTACGTGGCCATGTTTGTTGTGTTGCTATGTCGGTTTAAGGAAATTTCAAAAGGCCAATTGTTCAGAAAAACGATTTTTCCACTGTAACCGTACTGAATTAAAATCCTTTTAACGTCTTCATTTCTCAATTCAATCGCTTCAAATTTTCAAAACAAACTTAATTTGAAGTATTTCATGACATCACACAGACAAAGGTGCAGAAAACTTAATGGTACCCTAAAAAGTTTTCCAGAAGAACAACGAATGATCCTTAGGGAAATTCAAGTATGGAAACAAGTTTCAACCTTCCTGAACTGTACAGCAGGTAAACTGAGTGGGTTTTGCAAATTTGAAGCGATTGGGCTGAGAAATGAAGATCCTACAAGGATTTTAATTTAGTACGGTCACAGTGGAAAAATCGTATTTTCTGAAAAGTTGATCTTGCGTAATTTCCTTAAACCGAATAACAAAACAAACTTTGGCACAAAATTCTTTATGGTCGAAAAGCAAGTTATGTATCAAGTTATCTGAAGTTCTCAAGAAGTAAAAAAGCGCAGATCTCAGCGGTACAGAAAAAATCTGAGCCTTGTCGGAACGGTTAGAGATGGACAGCTGATTCTTGTGTATAAACGTAGATCACAGTCTGGTGGTTCGGGCGAACTTATCAGAATAGAAAATTCGACTTTTTTTCACAGTCTCATGACCTCTTCTTTCAAAGATCAGTGTGATACACCAGCTACAGGATGTATACGGGACATTAGTTTTTCATAGAACGATTCTGTTAAGTCTTGGCTAGATAACAGCGACAACAGTAGATCTCTACCCCATTTAGTTAAAAACTTATCAAAAAAATCAACGGCAGCACAGAATTTTGAAACGGATTGTAGTGAAAATGTTTTTTCTTTTTTGATACTTACTGTTATTTGTTTTTTTCTTTTATGTATGCTTTATACTAAGTCATGTTATGGAACCACTGGAACTTTATTCTACCGTTTCATTCATGCGAAGCAGCATCTTTTCTGAGTAGATTAATCGTAAATCCAACACGACACTACATTTCTCATGAATCAGCAGAAAAACAAAATGACTTTTATGGGAGTGTACGTGGTTGTATTAATTTACATCGTATAATCAATAAAACTTTTAACAGCATCTACGATGACTGTTTTTCTCTAAGTTTTTAACCAAAAGAATAAAGAACAATTGTTCTAGCATTGTTAATCCTCTAAATGATATACAACTTTTTACCCGTGATATTCATGTATTAATGTATAAAGACGGTACTTGTCGATACGAGGGCGAATATCGAACCTGAAGGCGATATGGTGAAGGACGATGTTTATATAGATATTTACCGTTTATCGATTGGACAGGTCAGTGGGCAGACGATAAGTGGGTTGAGGGTATTTTGACGTGGAAAGCGGGAAACACTTTCGTTGGAAGATGGATGGGTGAGAATGCATTTCAGAACCAAGAGGGAGACATTTATCAGGGGCAACTGCTGTATGGGGGGCATAGCGCATGGATATGGGGAGGAAACGTACAGTGACGGCAGCCGATACAGCGGTGCGTGGAAAAACGGCTGGAGACACGGCAAAGGAGAGATGACATATTCCAATGGAAGTCGCTATCAGGGTTATTGGAAACACGGTTGTTTATATGTCAATCATATCAATATCTCTCAACTAATTGATGAAATGAGAAGTTTTAACAACGAAATCGATGATACAGGTTCGTTGTATCAGCGTAGTGTCAAAATAAGAAAACTGAAATATTACATTTATATTCAAATAATCGACAGTGAAGTTCATTATTCTCAATTGTGTACAGTCTTACTAACTGTTTTGGATTGGCTACAGCCAGAACAAGGCAATTTATTTATAAATGAATTTATTCCCCATACTGCATATCAGTGGAACATTCTGCTTGTTGCAGCTAAAAATGGGTTTGTTAATGTCGTAGAGCTCTTACTTAGAAAGTTTAATGTGAATACAGAAATCGAAGGAATTATGGAATATGACAATCAGTTAGTACCCGGAGCAACGGCTATATGGTGTGCTGCAGCATCCGATCATCTTAACATTGTCAAATTATTAATTTTCCACGGTGCGAATATTAATCATTGTACTCGATCAAAATCGACGCCACTGCGTGCAGCATGTTTCTTTAACCGGCTTGAAATTGTTAAATGTCTGATCGAGAACGGAGCCGACGTCGAACAAGTTAGTTTGGAGAAGAACACATGTTTGATGATATCGTCATACCGAGGACACTTGGACGTGTGCCATTATCTACTAAGTAAGGCTGTTGATGTTAATGCCAGAGATCTGGAAGGAGCTACACCGTTGTATTATGCGTGTAAAAAAGATCATTTTGAAATCGTCAAACTGTTAGTTGATAACGGTGCAATTAATTCGATAAACTCGAAAGGGGAAACGCCATTAAAAATTGCTGCTTTAGCGCCTCAATCAACCATCGTCGAGTATCTTGTGAATTTGCCCGATTACTGTTCAGTGATTGAGCGGATTGAGGCCCTTGAGTTGTTGAGCACTTCCTTCTGTATGTACAGTGACGCCACATACGACATTGCCCGAACATACAATTATCTGTCACAAGCGATGCATTTAAGATACGTCGATCAGCATGAACCGTTCCTTAAAATAATTTTACCGTCGCCAGCAATTTATGAGAATTACACCGAATGTGAAACGCTGAAAGAACTCGAACAAATTCAAACAATGATCGATTGAACATCGAAGCACTCATGGTGCTACAGCGAATTATGGGCAGACGACACTGGATCACATTAAACTCAATTGTGTATCTCGGTACTAATTATGCGAGAGAGCAGAAGTACGAAAGATGCTTATCGTTGTGGCTATATGTGATGGACGAAAGAAAAATCATTGAAATGTCAGTTCAAGAAGATCTGAGTTTAGTCGCTAATTTATTTTTCGAAATGATTCATCATAATATTAACATTGAAAGTCGAACATGGATCAGAATAATGAAAAGTGCAATGGAAGAGTTGGTTAAGGATAAATACAGTTTTGAAGATAATTTTCAAACAACTTTGAATTTGATTGTCATCATTTCAATGGTAAGTGGAACTGAGTCCCACCTATAGAGATACTTCCGTTTTTCTCGTTATAAGTGCTTTTGCTTCTTGCGATTTCGTCCGCAGCACTACAATGTGTCAACCATGATGCATAATAACGCTTACGTCAAAATCAAGCGTTTTTTTACAGAAGTTTTTAACAGAAATCATCATCTGCGGTTTTAGAGGAAATATTAAGTGGATGAATCTATTACCACTCTTGGAAGCAGCAACTTGACACATAGTAGGTCAATTAATACCCACAGAGAGTGGTAAGTGGAAGTGGCATTGGAATTTTACAACTCATTTGGAAAGACTTTGCTGGATGCCCTAACATCGATTATTAACCGGTGCGTGCCTAATCTCGATCGGGATATGCTTCTCCATGTTTTTATGCAGGTAAGTGATATTAAGGTTAAAAAGTTGGAATCCAGTGTACTGCGGAATCCAATATTATTGGTCCCAATATACTGAGTGGCCAATAATTATTGGTCCCAATAGATTGGGCGGCCAATATTATTGGATCCGAATATTATTGGATACCCAATAGTATTGTACAATATCTTCAATAATGATTGGTATTGGTGCATGCCTATAGTTGCCACGTTTATCAGCGGCAATAGCTTCTTAACGATACTTTTGAAAGTGACAGTAGCCATTCTGCTTTTATTTGAAATGCAATTTTCGGCTTTTTTATGCAATAACGTGAAAAATATGTAGTTTAATTCGACCATTTATCTTATAACTTTTGTTGTTCTATTTTACCGCTTGAAGTATTTGAATAATAATTCCCCTGTAATAAATATTTGCTAGTATTATCCTTATGTGTAACACGACTCACTCGACACGACTCTCTGACAGTCTCACAACTATTTATAGTAAAAAGTAGGGAGGGAGGCAGGCGCCCAGATATGTATAAACATCAACAAAATAAGACAAGAGGAACAACAATAAGTGAATATCGTTATATAAACATATACGGCTGCTGATGCACGAAAATAATGAAAAGAAAGGTAACGTATCAGATAAGAAATAAAGTAGTTCGATGAATGGGGTGTAGATCACGTACTTTATGTAATACGTCGTAGCAGAAGATAGTACTAAGTTCGCGCTGAAGAAAAGTCGTGAATCATCTTTATGGTTTTCCTACTGTATCGAGCACTTCCATTCTTCTCGTTACAGATGATGTCCACCAAAACTGATGAGGAACAACACAAGATATCCAAACTCATTTACCAACTCAACTGGATGAACTTCAGAAGTACGCTGGACAAGTCAACCATTTTACATGCTATTTTGAAAAGAAATAGTTCTGGTACAAACAGGATTTTCCGGTGAGTAGTTCTGTTTTGTTTGGATTGAAGTAACCAGTCTTGTTTAGATTTCCATGTGTGTCGGCTGCCAGGTTGCTTATAGAAAATGGAGCTGATGTGAATGCCCTTGATGTGAAGCGCGATACGCCGCTACATAAAATAGCCAAGAGCAGAGTTATGGCCATCGACGATATTACTGCGGTCGTTGTTCCATTAGTTAGTGCAGGTGCTCACACAGATGCTACAAACATATTTGGATTGACGCCACTACAGTGCGCTTACACAGACGAAACTGAAAAAGTGTTAAGAAGTCAAACAAGCTCTCATTAAAGTCTATAGCTGCCAGAGTCGTCTCAAAATTCAACCTAAAGTACGATATACATGTGTCAAAATCGCTTGTTGCTTTTATTCAACAGCATTCGTTTCAGACTTAAAGCTAAAATCAATCATTATGCAACAACCAGTTGAAACTCTTACATGTTTTTAGTTCTTCTTTTGAAACTTTGCAACAGTAAAAAGAAATGAAAGAGAATGTGACGAGGGTGTGTCTGCCTCTTGCGTTTATTCATTTTGATTATTTTTGACGCTTTTTTCCTGCAACTCGGTTAGTTATTAGTAGATGGAATTTAACCAGCCTGACAGGTTCATAGGCACCTGATCTTTTATTGAACGGGGCCAGCTTTTAAACACTCATCAAATATAGTAAAACAATAATGTTATTTAATTAATACTACTGGCCTATGTTTTAATAATATTTGACGGTCCGACGTTGTTTCGATTGTAATTATCCATCTTCTTCTATGTGTCTTGCCAACTGTATTTTCATTTAAAAAATGATACTGCCGTTAACAAGAGAATGAATGCTATTACTCATGACCAGTTTGCCAATGTAAATAAAAATGTACAGTGAATTTCCAAACGTTATGAATTTGCCTCGGCAGATCGGTCATGAGTATCAGCATTCATTCTCTTGTTAACGGCGGAATATCGCTTTGCACAAGTCCCACACCTTCATCTATCATGGTTGCACACTGCAAGCAATCTTTGAGGACCCACCTATCGGGCAAACCTCAGCTCTCGGAGCGTCACGAACATATGCGACATAGGCTATCGGACACGCTGATTACTGTGGCAATGTTTGTTTTGTTATTCAGGTTAAGGAAACTGCAAAAGACAAACTTTTCGTAAAATGCGACTTTTCCTCTGCGACCATACTAAAATAAAATCCTTATAGCGCCTTCATTTCTCAACTCAGTTGTTTAAAATTTAAGAACTAACTTAGTTTGAAGTGTTTAATCAGGCCGCATGGACAAAAGTACAGAAAACTAAATGGTACCTTGAAAGGTTTTCAAGAAGACCACTGAAGGTCCTCAGATGAAAAATTAGTATGAAACCAAGTTTTAACCTTTCTGAACCGTATAAGAGACGAAACTGAGTGGGTTTCGACATTCTTAAGCAACTGAGTGGCGAAATGAAGGCGCTGTAAGGATTTGACTTTAGTATGGTCACAGAGGAAAATTCGCATTTTACGAAAAGTTCGTCTTTTGCAGTTTCCTTAACCTGAATAACAAAACAAACATTGCCACAGTAATCAGCGTGTCCGATAGCCTATGTCGCATGTGTTCGTGACGCTCCGAGAGCTCACGTTTGCCCGATAGGTGAGTCCTCGGAGATTGCTTGGAGTGTCCAACCATGATAGATGGAGGTGTGAGACTTGTGCCAGCTTGTAGAGTGATATTTGCTCTATAGCTACATATATTTAGACCAATATCTCGCTATGTGGATTTTTGGAATGACAGACTCAGACGTATTGCTTCGAAAGTACACCATGGTAGACCTGTCAGATAAGACTCGTTTCAGCATAGGATTACGCCCACGAGTGTTCTCTTCCATAATTCAAAACCGCAGTTCTGTAGCTCACTCCGTTCTCGAGTTATTCAAAAAACATGCGACTGCATTATATTTTGAAACGGATAGTAAAAGCATATAGTAGTGTCAATTGATCAATTCAATTGTATAATGATTTGATTTTCACTTTAATATTGTTGTAACTTGTTTGTACAAATGAATATTGCTGGTATTTCCAGTTCAATTGTTTTATAATTTTGTTTCGTTGTTGATAATAAACGTGAGGATAATAATTATTTAAAATTAATGACTTAAAACCAAAATCGTAGTTAGTGGTGATTTCTTTAGCATCAGAGTTTATTTTGGGATGGATTGGGTCACTTATTATAATGCACAAGTTTTAGCCCATCAACAATTAGTTATCACCCATCGTCGCCGTCAAACGGCAGTGATTTAATAACAAAAAAATGAGTTGCTCGGTTATCACAACACTATAAGGTTCCCATAATCTTGATTGCACAAGATAAATAAGATATCTTAATATCTGAACATCTAGATATTATGTAAATTGCAGATGTTCACAAATCAGACCGGTCTCATTTATGGCCTTGATTCAACACTATCCAAAGGTTATGGCAATGCAGATCAACAAAATCAGGCTCGACTGGGCTTACCGAAATTAGTACAAGATGCTAATTCTTCAGGATTATCACTGTCACTTACAGAATTATCGGCACTTTCAATATCACTATTATTTTCATCATCACTTGTGAACATGCGGAAAGTGACACATCTGAATCATTTTCAGCTTCATCAATTCGCGATCGCTTTTTCGTTGCCATTTTGACGTTTGACGGTAATGCCATCACTAGAAAAAAAATAACTGAAAGTCTTCTTAGTGTTTGAATAAGCTGAATACGTTCGTTAGCTGAAAGTTTTTCGCGGATATATAGTCACTAATGTTGACCTTTTTTCCTCTATTCCTTTTCTATGTTACTGTTTATATCATCCTATTGGTTCTCCAAAAGAGAATTCTATGCTTAATTTATTTAACTGCATTTTAAGATCTGATATTAATACTATAAAGTTCTCTTGTTATATTAGGCTCAATATAAGAACTGAAAATTTACAATGTCGGATACCGTCCGACACATGATCGGAAAGGGTTAAGCTTTGGGCAGCTCGAAGTGTCTTGAAATACAGAAAACAGTTGACTCTCCGGTTAAATAGTAGGGCTGGTACTTTAATAGTTACTTTATCAGGTAAGTATCTTTAAGTATTTTTTTTTAGGTAAGAAATTTTTCAGTTTTTAAAACCATGTTTTCGTATCTAAAAATCGAGATTAAAGAACTTCAAAAACGCGCTCGTTCATATTTAAGAGATTTTGAGATAAATCTTAACAAGTTTACCATATATTTTGTAATCTATTAGTGGATAAAGATTTACAAGAATTTGGAAAAAATTTACAGGAACTAATTAATATTAATCGACA